ACAAACTTGAGTTGAAAATAGTTCAAGATAAATACATGCAACTTGATATGGAAGATGAGGCCATGAAGTGGCATTTGCGGTTCAGTCATCTTCATTTTGGAGGGTTGACCGAGTTGGTGAAAAAGGAGATGGTGCTCGGACGGCCTAAAATGGAATTTGAAAAGAAGTTCTGTGAAGAATGTGTGATCGGAAAGCAAGCAAGGACTTCTTTCCCTCGGAGCTCTGAATACCGAGCAAAGGATCAACTTGAATTGATCCATACCGACTTGTGTGGGCCAATAACTCCAGAATCATTTAGTGGTAAGAGATACTTCGTCTCCTTCATTGATGATTTCTCAAGGAAGACGTGGGTTCACTTTCTGAAGGAGAAGTCAGAAGTGTTTGAAACTTTCAAGAAATTCAAAGTGATGGTAGAGAAAGAAACAAACAAAGTCATCAAAACAGTCCGATTTGATAGAGGAGGCGAGTTCATTTCTACCGAGTTCAACAAATACTGCGAGGAACATGGAATCAAGCGTTTCTTAACGGCTCCATATTCTCCACAGCAAAACGGTGTAGCAGAACGAAAGAACCAAACCATTCTTGACATGGTTCGATCTATGTTGAAAGGGAAGAATATGCCGAAGAAGTTTTGGGCGGAGGCGGTGCAATGCGCAGTTTATGTGCAAAATAGATGTCTACATGCAAAGTTGGGTGAGAAGACGCCTCAAGAGATTTGGAGTGGCGTGAAGCCGAGTGTCTCTCATCTAAAGGTGTTCGACAGTGTGGCCTATGGGCAAGTACCAAGTCAGCACAGGACACAAGTGTAGAACCTATTGGATAAGTTTTAAATGGACCTATTGCCACAAAGTATTTTGTCTTTAGTTGAAAATTATGCACCAAAGTGTACCCCATTTGTAAAAGAAGTTAGGTATTGTGTTAGCATTATCATTACCCACATAGTAGTGGAGATGTTAGGTTTAGTTTTTATTATAAATATAGTTTTGTATGTAGTGTGGCATATGGTAAGTGTTTGCACCGTGGTTGAAAGAAGAAAGAGAGAGGGAGAAGTGTGCTGCCAAGTGAAACACACCACCGTGGAGAGGAAAGAAGAAAAGTTGTGTATTGTGAGTGGAGAAAAAAAAAGAGTACCCACGGTGAAGGAGAGATACAGAGGAGTTGTTTTGTGTTGTATTATGCGAGTTAAAGAGTTGATTGTTCAGAGTTGTGAGAGTTAAGATTGCTGTCTTTGTATTTGTGTATTCTGGATAGTTTTCCAGAAACTTTATATGAAGAATATATTTCCCATATTTCTACAAATTGGCATCAGAGCTTGTGTGTGACTGAGAGAGAACGCGACACTGTGCGCAGGCAGAGAGAGAGAGCAACAACTAAGAGTTTTGTGAGGTGTGTGAGTTGAGTGTAAACACCGAGAGAAATGGCAGCACTAACCAATGGCATCCCGCTACCCAAGTTGATGAAAGACGTTAACTATGACAACTAGAAGGTGCAGATAAAGGCCCTTCTCGGCTCCCAAGATAACTGGGACGTGGTCGAGACTGGATTTGAGGAACCGGCGAGCACAGACGGATATTCAAATGCCCAGTTGAACGCGTTGAAGGCCGTTCGAGCTAAAGACAAGGCAACTTTGTATCTGCTATACCGAGCTGTTGACGAATCCGTTTGTGCAAATGCAAAATCTTCCAAAGTAGCATGGGATACACTCGAAAAGGCAAACAAAGGAGACGAACGAGTGAAGCAGGTTCGACTTCAAACCCTTAGGGGCGAGCTGGAAAACATGAGGATGAAAGAGTCTGAAAGCGTATCTGAGTTCATTACTCGGGTGGAGATCTGGTGAACAAACTAAATTAGAATGGTGAGAGTCTTTCATCAAACCGAGTTGTTGAAAAGATCCTAAGGTCATTGACAAATGATTTCGAGAATATCGTATGTGCAATAGAGGAGTCCAAGGATTCCTCAACGCTCACCATTGAAGAGCTTACTGGGTCCCTGGAAGCACATGAGCAGAGACGGAAAAATAAGAAGGGGGAGTCCCTTGAACAGGCTCTCCAAACAAAGGCGATGATAAAAAAAGATAATGTGTTTTATGTTCAAAATACCAGAGGCCAAGGAAGAGGTAGAAGCCAAGGTGGTAGAGGAAGAGAGAACGAAGAAATGAGCAAGTCGGCCAACAAAACTGGCGTGGTCGAAGTCAAGCCCGAGGCGGCCGAGGTCAGACTCGGGGTGGTCGGACAAACACAAACAACATTGAATGTTATAACTGTGGGAAGTATGGGCATGTTGCTAATGATTGCTACTCGATAAAATGCTACAACTGTGGTAAGATGGGCCATATTTCCAAAGATTGTAGGTCCGTGAAGGAAAAGGAGAAGGCAACAAACTTCCTTGCCGAGAAAGAAGAAGAAGGGTTGCTACTAGTGACAAACATTCCAGAAACCGAGGTCAAACCAAGCTGTTCTAATAACTCGGTTTGGTACTTGGACACCGGCGCAAGTAACCATATGTGTGGTGACGAGAGTTTATTCAAAATACTTTCAAAGGTGGAATCCGGATCTGTTTCTTTCGGCGATGCTTCAAAAGTAACCGTCAAAGGTCGAGGAACGATCTGGTATGAACAGAAAAATGGGCAAATCGAAGAGATCAGAGATGTATACTATATACCATATCTCAAAAGCAACATACTGAGCATGGGACAGATAATGGAGAAGGGGTACTCAGTTCTGATGAAGGACCGAGAATTACAACTTAGGGATAAATTCGGGAGGCTCATCACCCAAGTAGAAATGAAGAAAAATCGCATGTACAAACTTGAGTTGAAAATAGTTCAAGATAAATACATGCAACTTGATATGGAAGATGAGGCCATGAAGTGGCATTTGCGGTTCAGTCATCTTCATTTTGGAGGGTTGACCGAGTTGGTGAAAAAGGAGATGGTGCTCGGACGGCCTAAAATGGAATTTGAAAAGAAGTTCTGTGAAGAATGTGTGATCGGAAAGCAAGCAAGGACTTCTTTCCCTCGGAGCTCTGAATACCGAGCAAAGGATCAACTTGAATTGATCCATACCGACTTGTGTGGGCCAATAACTCCAGAATCATTTAGTGGTAAGAGATACTTCGTCTCCTTCATTGATGATTTCTCAAGGAAGACGTGGGTTCACTTTCTGAAGGAGAAGTCAGAAGTGTTTGAAACTTTCAAGAAATTCAAAGTGATGGTAGAGAAAGAAACAAACAAAGTCATCAAAACAGTCCGATTTGATAGAGGAGGCGAGTTCATTTCTACCGAGTTCAACAAATACTGCGAGGAACATGGAATCAAGCGTTTCTTTACGGCTCCATATTCTCCACAGCAAAACGGTGTAGCAGAACGAAAGAACCTAACCATTCTTGACATGGTTCGATCTATGTTGAAAGGGAAGAATATGCCGAAGAAGTTTTGGGCGGAGGCGGTGCAATGCGCAGTTTATGTGCAAAATAGATGTCTACATGCAAAGTTGGGTGAGAAGACGCCTCAAGAGATTTGGAGTGGCGTGAAGCCGAGTGTCTCTCATCTAAAGGTGTTCGACAGTGTGGCCTATGGGCAAGTACCAAGTCAGCACAGGACACAAGTGTAGAACCTATTGGATAAGTTTTAAATGGACCCATTGCCACAAAGTATTTTGTCTTTAGTTGAAAATTATGCACCAAAGTGTACCCCATTTGTAAAAGAAGTTAGGTATTGTGTTAGCATTATCATTACCCACATAGTAGTGGAGATGTTAGGTTTAGTTTTTATTATAAATATAGTTTTGTATGTAGTGTGGCATATGGTAAGTGTTTGCACCGTGGTTGAAAGAAGAAAGAGAGAGGGAGAAGTGTGCTGCCAAGTGAAACACACCACCGTGGAGAGGAAAGAAGAAAAGTTGTGTATTGTGAGTGGAGAAAAAAAAAGAATACCCACGGTGAAGGAGAGATACAGAGGAGTTGTTTTGTGTTGTATTGTGAGAGTTAAAGAATTGATTGTTCAAAGTTGTGAGAGTTAAGATTGTTGTCTTTGTATTTGTGTTTTCTGGATAGTTTTCCAGAAAGTTTATATGAAGAATATATTTCCCATATTTCTACAGAACCCGTCATAACTCAACATTTATATTATATCTGAATGACAATGTCTAGGTCTATGGTATGATTAGGGTTATTGTTATATTCTATATAAAATGTAATATATGATGCAATTTTAGTATACCATGTTGAATTCTTTTAATCATTAGCTTACCTTTGTTTTTGTGTTTGTCTCTTTTTTATTTTCTTGTTTATAATGATTATCTTAAGGATGTGAGTAGATAATAATGTTTTCTTTGTGGTAGGTTGTTTTACCTAATTGTTTTATTATCAATTTGATAACGTTTTATTTTATTAGTTTTATACTATTAAAATATGACGTTAAAATAAAGGAGTATAAAGTATTATTTTATTATTAAAATATATTTTTAATTTATAGAAATTAATAAATAATAAATACTAATTATATTAATTAAATTATCATGCAAATATAATATATGATATATTTGTTAACGAGTACATCCGTATTATATATTACTAAACATTAAATACGATTCATAACTTGATATAGTCTATTTACTATATATATATATATATATATATATATATATATATATATTAATATGTTAAGAACGTATTTGTTTTAAAGACGCTGCATTAATAAGTATTTCCATTAATTAATTTATCATTTAATGTAATAATGATTTACAGTTAATGATAGCTATAAATTGATTGATATCTTGAACAAAATTACCGTTTCAGTGAAGACGCTAAAAAGAATCTCTTCCCTTTTCTCTAGCTAGAGAAAGGAAAGTTGGAATGAGTTTTTTCTTTAAATGAGAAAGATATTGACTTTTTGTTTCAAATTAATTCACATAATTACAGTCTTTTCATCTTTCACAGAACGAAAGTTTCATTATATATACCATCACCCATAGGCCTATAGAAACACAGTTTGTGAAGAAACCAAACTTAGAAGAATGAGTTGGTTTCTTGGGATTTTGTTCCTGAGTTTCATATATGGCAGTGTTTCAGAGGTTCAAGACAAAAATGACCGTTCTGCTGCTGTAATTGGTACTGTTTACTGTGACACATGTTCTGAGCAAGATTTCACACCCGAAACCCCCTTCATTTCAGGTTCATTTTGATTCCCTTATTGATAATATATACATGCTTCAATTTCACATATGATATCCATATCCCTTAAGGTGTTTGATCTTTTGACTCAAGTTGTGTTCTGTCACGATGTCATGAGCAGGTGCCAAAGTTGGTGTAGAATGCAAATTTGGGTATTCAGTACCAAGTTTCAAGGAAGAAGTGGAGACAGATAAACATGGTGAATTCAAAGTGAAGCTACCATTCAAAGTGTGGAAGCATGCACAGAGAATCAAAGGGTGCACTGTCAAACTCATTAGTAGCAGTGAGTCAAATTGTGATGTGCCCTCAGTTTCCACCTCTTCTTCAGTGAGTCTCATTACAACAAAGCAAGAAGAACACATTTTCTCAGCTGGCTTCTTCTCATTCAAACCTGTTCAAAAACCAAGCTTTTGCAACCAAAAACAAAGTGTTTCAAACCCATCTATATCAGATGAAAATTCAGCAGTAGATACCGTTTTCCCTCCCCTCCCATTCCTACCTCCAATCCCATTCCTACCTCCAATTCCCTTCCTACCTCCAATCCCATTCCTACCTCCAATTCCTTTCCTTCCTCCAATCCCATTCCTGCCTCCCAATCCATTTATACCTCCAAACCCATTCCT